TATATATATATACATATACATATATACACACACTCACACACACACACACACACACATACATACACACACTCAGGTTCTCATATATTTGAAATTTTCTTTCTCAGGAACTCATCAAGTACTTCAGAATAATGAAGGTGTGGCAGCCACTGAGAAGCCTCAACCACTGGAGTCTGAGAAAGGAAATACTTCCTCTCCATTCCCTTACTTCTCTGTCCCATACTGCACAGGTGATGAATGTAGCGTGCCCTCTAAAAAAGGAACAAATCAGGAAAAGATTATGAACCTTTATTATATGCATGTCCAAAAGAGAAAAGGTATGGCTATCTTAGGGCTTAAAGAGGAAGTATTAGAGTCTCCTAAAAAGAAGCCAAGAATGGAAGAATTTTTCATTCTTGAGATTAACACAGAATCAGACCTTCCTAAAGTTGTGCCTGATACTAGCGCTCTCGTAAACCAAAGTGCATATAGTTTGGGCTTGGGAATCCAAGAAGAAAGGGAGAAGAACATTATAAATCCAGCAGAAACCCTGGCTTTGGAAGTCAATCCCAGCTGTCTACTTACCACAGACTGCTTTCAAATGCATGACTTGTTACTGGGTCTTCCCCAGTCTAAAAGTTCTTAAAAAAATGGAATTGGTGGAGGCTTTAGTTGCCGTACCTTCCATCTCACCTTCAGTTTTCTAAGGGAAAAAAAAGGAACAAGGCAATAAAGAAGTAATATAAGAAAAAGGCCTTGGAGAAAAATCAGGGAAAACAAGCAGGACATGATAGTATATTCACAGAAATAAAGAGACTTTTTCAGATCCTGAAAAGAAATATAACCAAACAGGTGTCTGAGAGGCCTCTGTATTCCCTTATGCCGCCATTGTACCTATCTTTTTGTTTTTCCATCCAGAGGCAATAAATCATAACACCACTATGCAATAGCCATTATTGTTTTTATTGTGTGCTGTAGAGTTGCCTGCTGCTCATAGCGACCCCACATACAACAGCTATGAAGCCTATCCTATCCAGAGCCAGTCTCCCTGATTCCAACACACCTATCCCCATTGCCCCAATTACTGTATCAATCCATCTAATCCAGGGTCTTCCTCTCTTATACTGTCCCTCCACCCTTCCAAGCATGGTATCCTTCTCCAAGGATAGGTCTCTCCTAGCCACATGTCCAGAGTTTATGAGACAGAACTTCAAAATCCTACTCCAAGGAGAAACTTGGTTGTACCCTCTCCAGTGCACATCCATTTGTTTTCTTGGTGGTCCATAGTATGTTCAAGACTGTTCTTCAACACCATAACTCAAAGGCATCAATTCCTTTTCTGTCATCCTTAGCCATTGTCCAGTTCTTTGATGCATATAGGTGCACATTTATCTCTAGACTGACACTGTTGCTTTTCAGTACTCTGGAGAGGTCCCTGACAGCAGATTTTTTCCCAGTGCAATTTATCTTTTTATTTTTTGACTGCTGTTGCCAAGAGTGTTGATTGTAGCCCTAAGCAAGTTGTAATTGTTAACTACCTCAATCTCTTCTCCGTCATGATGTTGCTGACTGTTGGCCCAGTGGTGAGAATATTTGTCTTCTTAACGTTGAGCTTCAATCCATATTGAAGACTGTAGTCCTTGACCTTATGTAACAAATACTTCCAAGTCTGCCTCAGTTTCAGCAAGCAAGATTGTGTCATCTGCATAACGTAAGTTGTTGGTGAGTCTTCCTTTAATCCTTATGCCACATTCTGCCTCATGAAGCCCAGTCTCCTGAATGATCTGTTCTGCATATAGATTGAAAAATATGGAGACAAGATGCATCCCTGATGCACTCTCTTCATGATTTCAAACCATGCAGCCTATCCCTGCTCTGTTCTGACTACTTCCTGGTCCAAGTATAGATTTCACGTAAGCACAATCAAGTGTTCTGGGATTCCCATTTTCCTCAAGGTTAACTACAATTTGTTGTGATCTACACTACCAAGTGCCTTTGTATGGTCAATGGAACACAGATATCCCTCTGGTACACAATACCATTAAAACTAGAAACATCTCTTTTAAAATATTTTGCTTTCCTTCAATCTCAGAGGTGAATGGTTCCAATCCACCAGATGCCCTGCTGGAGAAGGAAGGACAATATCCTCCTGTACCAGTCAGATCCAATTTGATAGTACACACACAAAAAAAATTTAAATAAACTAAAAAATTAAATTTTTTTCCCCAGATGAATTTTCTATTTCCTTATAGCAATATAGGTCACTTGGACTGAAGATTCTAATAGTGGAATTCAGAACATTCATATAATCGACTACTACTGCTACAGTTAGGCATCATCTAATCACTTATGACTCATAGTGATCCTATGTACAACAGCTCTCTGAACCTTACTCTATCTTGAACCAATTTCATATTCTCTCAAACACCTACCTCCATCACTCCAGTCACTGAGAATAAATTTTGGAGATAAGACATATCTTTGGCATACATCTTTCCTCATTTTTAACCATGCAGTATTTCCTTGCTCTGTTCTGATGACTGCCTCCTGGTCCAAGCATAGGTTTTACATAAGCAAAATCAAGTGTTCTGGAATTCTTATTCTGCTCACATTCAGCCACAGATTGATCTACTTTTACACAGTCAATGAAATGCAGACATTCCTCTGGTACTCTGCTTTCAGGTAAGATCTGTCTAACCCTGGCTATAGTGCCCTAGTGCTACAGCCTCTTCTAAACCCAGCCTGCACATCTGGCAGTTCTCTGTTGATATACTGCTCCTCTCATTTTTGGATAATTTTCAACACAATCTTGACTGTGTGTGTTATTAATGATTGTTGTTAAGCACTATTGAGTCATAGATGACTCGTAACAACCATGAAAGACCTGAACACTTGTATAACTTTTGTGGTTTCTCCACATTCATAGAGTTTCTAGACGCAAGCCATTTCGGAAGTGGATGTAACTCCTGCTTCCAAGCTTGTTTTAATTGGGAAGCTCAACCAAACACTGTCTACCATGGGTAACCATTATCACATTTGAAGCAGTACTGTCATAGTGTTTAGCATCACAACAACCTCGAATTACCTCTGTACAGCAAATGGACAGACCAGTGCTATCCCACTTAGAAGAATATTTGACCAAAAACAATTGCTATTGTTATTGTCATGTGGCTTCGAGTTGTAGGTGACTCATCGCGACCCTATGAACAAAATAATTGAACACTTGCATAAATTTCCTCCTTCCTCCAGGTTCATAGGTTTTCTGGAGACAAGCTGTTTCAGAAGTGTTTGCCACTCCTGTTCCCAAGTTTGTTTTAATCAGGGAGTGCCACCAAACACTGTCCACTCTTGGTAACCATTCTCACATCGGTGTCACAGTGCTCAGCTTCACAGCAACCACGAATTACCTCTGTACAGCAAATGCACAGACCAGGACTATACGACCTAGAAGAATGTTTGATAAAAAACAAAACAAGCAAACAATTAAATAAAACCATTAAAAACCAAATGGGTTTTTAAATAGGAGGCTGACAAGTCATCTCACATCCAGTAGCGAATCAACATTTCACTGTAATCCTCACCACTACCAGCAAACAAGACTCTGTAGAATCTGGCTCCTGTAGATGACTTCCAAACTGGATTCTAGCCCTATTAATGATATTGTTCGATAAAAAATAAAACCCCACAAATTGTTGGGATACCAATTATGTGCTCAGGACTACATTTATTGATTTAAACAGCAATTTTGTTTGTTTTTTTCTTTTTTTACCAATTGTTGCAACTAACAGATGCAGCCTTGGGCACACTCACCAGTCTGCAAGGAAATTTCGAGGACAGGTGTCTGCTCAACTGATTGAGAGATATACATATTTGTATCCCTTTATGTCTTACATAATGCAGGTACATAAATATACCTTTATGCAAAGTATATAGGAAAGAAAAATATAATGAATATTTTTAATAAAATCAAAATTGTCTCAATTATTATACTTGTAAGTTTAAGATATTTTTAATCTAAAAACTATCAACTTTTATAACATCATTTTCTTGTTTAATTATTGGTCTATCTTGTGAAAGCTCAGTAATTTTCTAAATTTGTTTCTTACATGAAATGACAAAAGTAATAAAAATAAAAATTTAGCTTTGAGAATTCTTTCTTCTAGCAAAAAACCCCTCAATTCAGTTTGAATCTCCCTCCAGATTCTTTGTTTTAGGATTTACAATCTCAGAAACCTAATGGAGGGTCACCTATGAATTGGAATTTACTCCTAGTGAGCTGAGTTAAAGCCTGGAAGTGAAATGTCCTGGGAAAGAGAAGCAAAGTATATTCCTCGAACCATAGTCTGACACAATGAGGGATATATTTGTACTTCTTACGTATGTGTTTGCCTTACGTTATTTGACCATATTGTATTGAAGAATCAGTTCCTGGAGAAAGGCATCTCTTTGGGAAAGGTGAATGTTTAGACAAAGGGAAGAAGACCCTCAACAAGATGAATTGACACAGTGACTATAACATTCTGAATTTATGAAAGATTGTGAGGATTTTGTAGGATAGATAGGATAAGGTTCCCATCTCTTTTTTTATAGAGTTGCTGTGGGTCATAGTTTGATAGACCCCAAGAACAAAACCTTAGTAGTTAAAATGTGTGTACTTGAGTAATGCAAATTCAAACTCCTTGCTCTTGAATCAGAACTGACTCAAAGATAATCTTCCACTGAGGCTATAAATCAGGTAGGAGGAGATTGTCCACTTTTGTCCCACAAAGCAGTTGATCGATTCAAACCCATTGCTTTAAAGTTGACAATGCATCACCCTACTAACAATTGCATTAAAACGGAAAATATCAACAAAATGTACTTTAAAACATACGTCTAATCTTAAATTTTAACTTCTATTTGCCAACTTACCACTTTTTTAGTCAATTTTCTCATCTTGAAAGTGGACATCTGTAGAATAGGACTTCCATTGTGGGAGCAGCCTAATCTAGTTTTCACGTCACAAGAGGGAATAATCCCACCAACAACTCAATCCTGATTCTCATGAAGTCAATCAGGTCTCCCCGCACCTACTTGTACATTTCATCAATTCTTTTTTTTTTTTTTGTTTTCCTTACTTTTAATACTGAACTTATCATATACTTACATTTTATTTAAAATACAATATTTTAATTTAATTAAACTATGTACATTGTAAATAACACTATACAGTATATAAAATACATTATGTCTTACCAAAAAGTATAAATTAAAAAATATATTAAATCAAACCCAAATGTGCTCTTCTTTTTTTTGTTTAACTCCAAGTTTTGCACATTTTTTTTGCATACACTCTATCTTATTGAGTTGCCCTCTCAAATGTTCTAGTCAGCTCTCTAATTTCACCATTTCTTCCTATTGACTATACTTCCCAGTATTTCCACATTCAAGAGCAAGTATCTTTTTTTTTGCCTCTTGAAAAGCTAACTCTATTAAAATAATTCCTCCACAAACCACACCCTAATATAAGAAGAACGTTCCTCTGAGGACTTTCATTGCTCTACTGCTAGGTCTGTAATATATTTCAAAGTCAACATAGAATTCACAATAATGTTCACCAAAGTGACATTTATTAGGGGAGTTAAATGTACAGTTCAGGTTAAAGAG